TAAATGAAACCAGAGAGCGTTGACAGAGAGGAGAAGGTAGAAATGACTCAGTCTGTAACTGAAAACATATATGGAGGACAAAAGAGCTGCTTCATGTAAGAAGAACCTCAGATTAGCTCGTTAGCCTTTGTGCTAGCACTGATGCTATAATGCCTTATATGTATTAGCTCGGTGCTAGTGCGACAAACAAGCTAAACTGAGGTCCTGAGGATGGAGGACAACAGAGCTGCTTCATGGAAGAAGAACCTCAGCTTAGCCTGTTAGCTTTAGCGTTAGCCCCAATGCTATCACCATATACACTCACCGGCCACTTTATTAGGTACACCTGTCCAACTGCTCGTTAACACTTCATTTCTAATCAGCCNCCAGAATGCTTTGTGTGTAAATAAAATGGCCCCGTCCATGTTAAAATATATTTTTAAAAATTTACAAAACTAAACAGCCTAAAGTATTTTTACAGTCTTTATTTTACAGTTAAAATATATGTTTATTAAATAAAGTCTAATGTAACTACACTGATCTCAGCTTTAAACAAAAAAGAAAAAGTCATTCCACAAGTTCAAAACTGATAATTCACTAACTCAAGTTAGATTCAAAGTACACTTCTTTTATTATTAATAATATATGATTTAAAAAAATTCTACCTGAAACAGTGCTTCTGAGATAATATTGCACAAATAATAACCTGTCAATCAAAGTATGAATGCATTACGACCTCATCACACTTACAGGAAGACACAAGGACAGGTAGCAGCATTTCGGCATGGTAAACTGTGGCTAACAAAGCAATAAAAGCCTCAGTCTTTAGCGAGGTTGAATGGCTGGTTGTCAAGCTCCATCATTTCTTTTGTTAAATTGCTTGAGATTTGTGTCCTCTCTGGCAATTTTTTTGRATTTGTCAAAAGATTTTACGTCCCGATGAGCTCTTGAAAGCTAGCTTGTTGTTGTTAGCATTTTTAGCAGACAGACTTTGGGCTGTGTTCAGGAGGTTACGGACATTACATGTTCTCAAATTGGGAGTAGTTGTTCTGACCTGTTTATATTTATCATTAAAAAGTTTGTGCATAACATACAGGGTTAATTGGTAAAATAATATTAATCTAGGATCTTGTTATTATGGCATCTTGTCTTTTCTCGCAACTATGACAATTTATCTTGTAATTACAGGAAGTCTATTTGTTTGTGAATGAAWTGCTGTTCTGTAGGAAAAAAATAATTTTACTTTATTTGTAACAGTTCATGCAAAAAAGTTTTGCAAACAGAAGTTTATTATTATATACGTGATCTCATATTTAGACATTCTTTTCTTGAACAAAAGATTAATATTTATAGGCAATTATACATGGAAACCTAATCATGATAAATTGTTTACATGGAATATTTTGCAGATACAGTTTAGCGCCGCCTACCAGATAAGACATGCAAATTAGGGCTGTACAGTGCTGCACATGCGATGTATAAAACCGTCCATKGTGTAAAAATGTTTTACGTAGCACTGGTGCGACAGCTTTGCAAGCTAAGCTTTTGTTTTTGCTGGGAAGACGCAACAGGTGACCATGCCATGATTACCTTAATGTAATTACTTATACAGCAAGAATCACCAACACAGACCCCACACGCTACCAGGTGCCTGCAGGACAGGTCCATGCATGTTTAAAAACAATGGCAACCCATTTTGTGTTAATTTAAAAAAATGTTTTAAAAAAAGAACTTCATTCTGAAGGTGTAGCAGCTTTTATTTTGCTGTGGCGGAGCGCCACGATCAATTACATGTAGGTGAAACCCTGTAATGGTAATCCACTAAGGCAAACATATTGTTAGTTGTTAAAATGTATTTAATATTTCAGATTTTTACTTCTTATTAATTTTCTTTTACCCCACTGAGGGATTCGCACCTTATTGTGGTTATTTCATACAACAATCATGTAAAACAGCTGCTAGATGTTTTATAAGAAACTACCAGGAAATACTAGCTAATAATATTTAATTTATAGTAAACTGTAGCACGATTCAATCTATACATAATACATACTACAGAGTAGAAGCTAATATTAACTGGCTAATTTAATAATTAACAATGAATACATGTGCTTTATAATCTTATTTTAGTTTAAACAAATAAATCATTGAGTTCAAGTTTGGTCACATCACATCCACATTGAGGTAAATAAGATAAATTGAGAAGAGAGACGTTTTCTCTTCAGTGCGTACACCCATAACAAACTAGATACAGCATAGCAGTAACATAATGACCCCCGCACGCAGAAATGCACCAGAACTCTTTATTCATAATAAATGTGATGCTACCAGATGCATCCTAGTGGTTGGTGGGGGTCTTATTTTTTGGGTGGCGGGGGGGGGGTTGGACCTGGATGGCCCCTCATCAGAGCTGAACAACAAAAGAAATGTCAAGCTCCTATGTTGAATAGTTTTTGA